AGAGATAGCAAAGCTGCGCATGCACAGTGGGGAGCCAATCGAGTTGTCATAGTCTGCAAGGTACGCGAGCGGGGTGTTTTGTTTTCCCGTTGCGCCTTTGGATTAGTCCTCCACTGCAGGGCTTTTAGTGCCTTCCATGGTACAGCCCAGTCGCTCTAGTAATGCTATCGGGCGCCTGGGGACGGGATTATCAGGTACCGCTTCGGAAGGCTCCAGGACGCGACTGCTTTTCTCAAGGTTGACCCTCTTTGCCAGGGGCCAGTTCAGGGCTCTGGAGGGTCTTCCTCAGGGTCAATACGGTGGGCGTCCCCTCCCGCATACCAGCGTACGCTACCAAGTTCGCACCAAGCACAGCAAGTAACATATGAGTCCTCTGAAGACGAGATCTCGTTCCGATGGGAGATTGCATCATCGTGAGAGAGTGGATGCGCCTCTGTCTCCACACCATGCAGCCCGAAACAGCAGTAGTGAAGATTGTGGCTTGGAATCGAAGCAGTAGCAATGCAGCATTGCAGTACAGCCCCAAAAGAACAAACAGAAAAAACGAACTTCGAAGTCTAATGCCCTCCAGGGATGTATTTGTGAGATGGGTTCGTGTGGATGGGTGGAGAATGGCGCATTCTCTCCTGCATGCGACTGGTGGATCGTCGCGTTGCTTTTGCTCGTGATCTTCAGATTGACGAACGGGTATTGCGAATTCCAGCGCCACAACGATATGCGAGATGCAGGAGACCTTGCAAGCACGAGGTATCATCGATGGAAGGTCTGAGACAGGCTGGACTGCGGAGGTCGCACTGAGCCACGCGAGGAGGCGCATTACAACACCGATGTCTCCAATGGGATAGACTCGTGGCTCACTGGCTACCTAGGCATCGGCGGTGCATCTCACTTCAGATCTGGTGGACATGATGAAACGCGATCCTAGAAAAAGCATTGATGCGTTGGTGTGCGATGGGTTCATAGAGTTGAGGGGGTATTGGAGGTGGTTAGAATGGTAGCGAAGGTGTCGCTCCAGTGGCATCGAGGATGGTGGCTTGCGCTTTGTCCGTTTAGAAGCTGGTGGCGGGGAAGGAAATCTCGACGAGCCGGCCTTGGCACGCTAACTCGACCCAACAACTGGCGCAGACAAGACGCTCTGAAGCTATCCTTCAATCCTACACTGGCGTATGCGCACAGCACAGCGTCTGCCGCAACCCGACCCAAATGTCTCCTCCCGGTCCCGCAGACCATCAACACACAGTCCCGTCAACCCCTCCGACGGGCCTCGAGCGCTGCGACTAGTTACAGACGAGGATCACTGAGCCTTTCGAGATACGCATCAAACTCCCATCTACCGCACAGGCGCTCGATCTTCGCCCTACACCTAAAAAGCCCTTGAGGGGGTTCTATTTTGATGCGAAAAGGCCTCCATGGTGTGACTGTGGAGAAACACGCTGGTTGCACGAATCCCGGAAGTCAGTCGACGCATGTACAGAGCCGGAGCGATGTGCACGCTGTCTGGTCAAAATCATACAGACCGGTTGTTTGTTTGAGCTTCGGTGAAGCATTTGACGGGCTAAGGCTAATGTTGTTCTTCGCACTTTTCCATTGTTTCTTGGTATACTGAACATCAGCCCTTCATCTCAGTACCCTGCGACAACCACTGCGATTGCAACTACCGTTGCCACCTGTCCAGCTATCACCCAAGACCAGCGCGCACCGGTGCTCTCCAGGAGATCCCATGGCTCTTCTTCTTCGGGTTCTCGGCTACCCTCAGCCACATGGTCGGGTGTGACGCATACGACGTGTGTCTCTGTCGTGCCGTCGGCAAGGTAAGCCGCGAACACGGATGGTACAGGCCGCTTGACGGAAACGTCATACGATTCGAAGCTACCGGCCTCACGGTCCCGTTGATTATATTTGATTGAATAAGTATCCATGAGCCTTGTGTGAAATCGCTCAGGAACGTGTTCTCCTGGTGGCGGTTTATCATCACATGTCTGGTTCGAGAAGCCAAGAACTGGGGCTGCGTTGATTCATTAGCAATCAGCGCTGTCAGAAGGAAGATGCAGACACTCACTCCTCACAATCAACGGGGCCAGTATTTCGCTGGGACAAGCATCTCTGATTCGATCGCTGTCGATGTCCTCACATTCCATGCCGTCCATGGAGACCCCAGAAGTCACAGGTGGAAAAGAAATTTCGCGTAATACATCCATGCACTCAGCACTCAGCACACCTTCGCAGCCGTTCTCGCCTGTTCCTGTAGCTGAAGCATTGATGGCTTTAAACCGATGGAAGCAACCCATAGTTACGCTTGTCAACTCTGGATGGCTGATATAAGCAGTAGTCGAACTGTAACTGAACCCTTGGCGGTCATTCACGGCGAGCGATATGTACCAGTCTTCCTCGGATGTCATCTGAAACCCGGTCTGGCCAGAGGAGTTGTACGTAGGCGTTGTAATAGGACACCATGGTGTGTTATCGTTGAGCTGGGCGAAACAGGACTGTAAGAGAGTGATTGCTATGAGTAAATAGGCGGGTAGGAAGTTTGAAGTAGCCATCGTATTTGGCAAGAGGTCGTAGCTGCGGAAACGTATCAAAGTAAGCAACGTGACCATACTATATAGAGGACATGTTAGCAATGGTGTACTCCGGAGTAGTTGGCTATGCTGCACAAGAGTCATAGTTGCCCGCCTGAAGTGGTCAGGACTAGGTTGATTGGAAGCAGTATACCCGGCAGCGACTACTGCGCCGTACCCCATGTTCATTGTTTATCGTACACTAGAAGCTAACAGGCAGAGATCCGTGGTTGAAGAATAAGGCAAGCAACACGCCGCGCCGGATGACTGCCGGCTTGGCGCAGCTGCCCTCAAGACCTGCGGATAAGAGACAGAAAGCGCTTGAACATGTTATCGTGGTGGTGGCAGTGCTAGAGTATGGGGTTTAATGACGTCGATTTTGTGGATTCGATGTGACTTGAGTCGCATACAAATCTACCTCACCAGGTCACGCGCGCGACTGAGAAGCTCAATTCCACTACATACCAAGCCCTTGGAGCTGTTGGATATTCAGATACCACAACATGGATACGACCGCTCTCCTTGCCCCAAATGGATAGCCTGTTAGGTACCTTACGACAGCGAAAAGCACTGAGTGCACATGCCTTCCGCAGAGACCTAAGCGCGCTCCTGCTATCGAAAGCCAGTGCGAGCTTCACGACGCGGGCAGCTTGATTCGAATAGTGCCCGGTGCCATCGATGGGCTTCAACTAGTCGCTCTCCCCGCCTTACAGAATTGGCATGGCCGCATCTCGCTCGTCCGGTGTCAGAGAGGTTAGATAAATTTACTTTGGAGACGTGAAATGTCGGTAAGAGTATGGATTTTGACGCGCCGCTTCACACATTTCCTCAAAAGTATTAATGAAGCGTCGTAAACGCCGATGTTCTTGGAGAATCGTGAGAAGCCTGGAGGAATTGCAGACATGAAGCGAAAATTGATACTAAAACACCCCGCTACCTCCGCGTTGGATTCCTCACGATAAGCCTCCCGAGGTCCTATTCGATTGGTATGCCGACAAGACGGCAAATGAATGCCCAGAGTTTTTTCATGGGACTAAACAGAATGGTTGCCATACTATGGGAGTGTTTGGAATCATTCATGACCCACGTCGAAGATACTTCGCCTTGCTGGATCAGAGTATGTGAAGATCGGTCGACTCCGGCGTAGTTGTAGGTAACAGCTCTAACCATTGGACAGACACAGGGTTCATTGATGAACGCAAGACATCTGGTGCATGTCGCCAAATCCGTAGATAATAACTAGAGTCCGCAGCTAGAGACAGTTGCAAATGCTCAGGTAATGAAAATGGTGTTCCTGACAAGGGTTGGTCGACATGCCCCACCATCGAATCCCCTCACTAGAGAAAAGTTTGCCGCAACACTGCCCCACCAAACCACCTCTTGCATACCGACAAACTTCAAACCTCGTTATGCCCTATTGACTGTCAATATATACGATCGTGAACAACAGCTTTCCATCATTACTAAGCAACAACTGGCCTAATGGCCCAATGGCAAGGCGCTTGACTACGACTCCGTTCGATATCAAGAGATTCCAGGTTGTAAGTAGCTCTCAGAAGCCTCCTATTCGAATCGCAAAGCTGACAGCCCCGCTGCGACCCCTGGTTAGGTCACATTCACAGCTCCAGCTGTCTTAGCATCCATCTTTTCGCATCGGTGGTTTAGTGGTAAAATTAGCCGTTGCCATCCTTCACAGGACAGTTTCGGCTAGCCCCGGGTTCGATTCCCGGCCGATGCATTCTTTTTGGCGTTCTAGACGTCGTCGCGGTGTTGTGGTGGTGGTGGGAGGTGTTGGTGGAGGTTGAGGATGGGGAACTTTTTGAGGTTTGGCGGAACACCAACACCAAGACCCTCCTGAACAAAGAAAACAGAATGTACGCGGGAGTCATGATTCATGCTTGAGCTTATTATCCTGCTGCGCAACGAAGTCACTGCAAATGAGTTATCCTTTAGCTGTCTTACATGTTCTGCTTCACGACCTCGCATGCCTCGTCGCGAACTCTCGAGCTGTGAAGCAAGTTCTGGTCATTCACTGCGATGGTCACTATCAACCCGTTCATGTCATCTCTGTACATCGTGGTATACTTTTACAAAATGCGCCAGCCACTTTCTGCGAAGTCACTGTTTTTAACCTCAATGCACACAACATCACTGCAATTGCAGACGATGTCAAAGTGTCGCCTTTGTTCGGAGTGCATGGAAGTTCTATCATTCCTAGCCTGCGCTATTAACAGAGCGATCCATGGATTGGTGAAGAAGGTAAGAGAGACCTGGGTACACCGCTCCTGCAATCACTCGGTGATCAAGCGAGAAGTCTCAGATATTTCAGCAATCGCAGGCGGCCACTTCTCGCTTCCTATATCATCGAAGTCATACGATTACTCGCCTGAGCCAGTACCGCAACCACAGGCAATCACTCAAGAACTGCGCCGAACCATCATGAATCCCAACAAGAACCTCCCATACCGCGAGCCAGCAACAGCGAAGAAGACAAATCAAGTGAGCGACGTCCAACTGCACACTTGCACCATTCCAGCGACTAACCTTGTCAGACGCTGCAAGACTTGGGCTTCACAAACCCACTAAGAGCAGTCAGCACCAACGCCAAAGATGACGGCGAAATCATATCAGCCAAAACACCAACTGACTCCAATATCGGCCACGCGAAAGGTTTCGGGGAAAGCATCGCCGAGGCGATGTCAACCGCCATGCAGCTCCCCATAGCAACTGCCAACTACCAGTTGAGGCAGGAAGTCAAGCGCTCGGCATCCAGTGAGCTCCTAAAGATTGACGATCTCAACATCTACCAAAGCGCATGCGCCGCGTATAAACTAGGATTGGAAAGAGGTTGGAGCAAGGAGAGATTACTGGAGTCGGTCGAGGAGTGGAAGGTGTTTGAGGCAAACTCGAGGCGGAAGTAAGACTGGCGCTTGGGAGAGATGACTTGCGAGGCGCTTGAGAAGAGACCTCGGGACGGTTAGATTTGGGTGGCTGGTGCAGGCCTTGGCACGCCTGTGACAGTGGCAATAAAAGCATAATCTCTGGGAAGTTCGTTGTCTCGTGCGTTGAGGTCTTGCTCTCAGAAAACTCATTGTCAAAAGACCAATGCCAGTATTCGAGTGTTTGGAGGAGCCTATATTGGCTTTGAGTCAGCTTGGAGGGGTCATAGCCCTCATGTTCGCACTGCTGGCGCTACGCTGCACTATGTGGATTTTAGCCGCTTTCTTCAGCATGGCGGGCTCGTTTTGGGGCAGGTCTACCAAACTGGATTTGGCAAGCATGAATCGCAGATCGTAGAGGGGATACATGGGTACTCTTTGATCACATTGCAATTAGAGAGATCTGATGAGACTAGAACTTGTCGTATCTGTCTTCTGCATATGCTTGAAAGTCACAGATGGTAGCTCCACCGTATAGCGTGCCTTTTGCATCCGCTTGATGGACGATGAGTAATACCCCGATCGGATGGTCAGCTCCTCTTCACCGTATCATTATGTCCTCTCCATTCGTGGTGCCAGCGTCGAATAACACCAAAGCTACACGAGCAGCCTAGCGATCCCATTTTTCCCGCCCTACTGCCTTCGCCATCTTCGCCATCCAATTCGAGGACTTCGCTAATACGTCCAACTCAGCTTTGCCTTCAGTTTTGTAGTGCATTTCGACCATCTCTTTCGCGACTGCAGAGACAGCAGCCCAATGAACTGCCTTTATGAGCAATCCATGCTTGCAATTGTGGCGCTTGGCGCTGTGCAACAAGGCTTCATTTATCTTCTCATCGATGTCGGACTCGAATATTGACTCGTTTTCGTATAAGGCTTTGGTTGCGAACAACAAGTCCAAGACGAAGTCCACGGCTCTATGCTTGTCGTCGACTTGATCAAGGGTGTCGATAACTTTGCGCTCGCCTGACACAAAGACGGGTTTGGGGGCCATGTGGAAAAGGACGACATCTTGATGGATTGGACAGGTATTGTTGTCTTCCAAGTGTTCAGCGAGACAATCACTGCAATACACTCCTTGGCAGGTATGTGATTCGCTTTGTATACGGCTGATCTCATCCACTGCTGCACCGCTGCATTAGCAATCGAAAATAAGAAGATGTCCGAACTTTGTCCTTACATGTGAAGGTTGCTTCGCATATGTCACAGACGACGTCTTTGATGCTCTGCTGGATGAACGTCTCGCGGTCCTTCAACGGCGTGTCCATGGTCTTGGTGCGCGCGGGGCCGGAGGTGTAAGTAATCAGGTAGGCAAAAGGCAGGCGTTGTTTGTATCTCGTAAGTCTTGGCACTCATAGTGTCATCAACGGTGAAGGCGCGGCAGCGATTTCGTGGTGAGTGTGAAATTGGCCCAATGCGGTAAGAGCGCGCAAACGGCTTTGCTCAGCGCCAAATTACTAAGAAGCGGCGGTAACTGTATAGTAGTAGACTATCGTGAGGCTTTGATACAGGAAGAAAATATTAACGGTACCGCCGCATGTACGACTACAGTTATCGGGCGTCTTCGACTCGCAAACAAGAAAGAGTACTCGGCTTTGGTACAGAGCGCGCAAAGCAGGTGATAGAGCTGACCGAAAGCTTCCTAGACGTTTTACTCCGCCGAATCCGCCATCGACATATCATCGTCGCCATCTTCAACATCTGACGCCTCATCATCTGATGGTTCATCACCTGACACCTCATGTTCCGATTCTTCGTCTCCAATCTGCCATTCCAACACGCTCTCGACGTTGTACAAGTAGAATCTAAGCTGCATTCCTATTAGTGGAACATAGCTCCCATTCCTATAGTGTTCTCGCACCATCCTCTGAGCTTGTTCCCTGATTCCAGGCCAATGGTCACTGAATATAAAGAAACCAGGAACCATCCTAGCGTTGATATGCTCTTCAATGTCAGAGTCGTAAATGACCTGATCTCGTTCGTAGAGCCTGTACATGGCACGCCACATGTTCTTGACGAATGTCTTGGCCGGCTTCCAGGTCTGGATCTGGTGAGCCATTGTATAATGCGGGCCTACTATGTCTCGTGCTCCTTCGACAAATTCGGGCTTGTCGATTTTGGAGAACAGCTGTTCTCTGCAGATGGGACAGGTGTTGTGGTTGTCCTGGTCGGATTTTATCCATTGGGTCAGACATTCTATTCCGAACGTGTGTTGGCAATTCGTTGTCTTGATGGATGCTGCTTGATGTTCCGTATCAAATGGCTCTGTACAGATAGCGCATTTGTCGTGGACGACGAGGTTGTCCCTGAGAAAGTCGCGGCGCGAAGGTAAGTTTGTGTTTCGTGGTGTCATGGTTTCGCCCTTTGGTGATACACTATCGTTGGGAGCGGATGTGGTGCGATGGAAGTTTTGTGGATTGAGAACAAAACACCAGCCGACTTATAGACGGCAGTGGCGACTGAAGCATGAATGTTGAATAAATGCGGGGGACACTAAGCCGGATGAACGTTGGTGTTGCACTAGTAGTGACTTTGTACCTAGGTACATTGACCGGATTACCACCGCTACTTCGTTCAACTGACGTTCACATGACAGGGACGACATCATGAAAAGCATGGCAGCTGCTGGTTCAACAAGCTGAAGCTCCAGTGAACGAGGGTTTCAGCGGCGACGGTCATCTTCCCATAGACGGTTTGGCGGCAAAGAGAAGACAGTCTTCAGCTCCCTATGTTCAAGAGTGTCGATCGAAGGGCGCGATGGATGTAAAAGCGATGAGCCTTTCCTGGCCGGCATAGCAGGTCGAAGAGTCGGAAAGTCGACTGACGCATCCCACCCATGTGTCCCTCTGAACACGGGGGCAGCATGGACAGGAGTGATATCAGCCACAGGCTTGACATCCGGCGATGATGGGTGCAGCAGTGTCGACTGCTTCCGCGGCTTGCGTCTGTCTCCATGACTACGAGGTGATATTAATCTGGCGCCGGTAGTCATTGCGCTGCTTCTCCTTCGCACAGACGTGACACCACGCTCTGACTCAAGCCATATCGTATCCTTGAACGGAGCGATTATAGAGTCAATCGAAGCCCGTCGTAGGAACTCTTGCTTGAGATTCGGATTCCAGCTCGATCTGCGCTTCAACGATGTGCGATGACGCACATGGCCACGTTTGCGTTCCGCGAGGTGTCTCGTTGGCGCTTTTGGTGGTACTGTCGTTTTGGGCGATAGCGGTGGCGAGGGAGGATATGCGTCGAGATTGGGTTCTTCATCTTCTTTGGTGAACGTCGTGCCCTGGAAGTACGAGGCTTCGGTGTCTTGCTCGTGGCGGGTAGGTGTTATGGATGGGCTACCTTCTCCGCGCTTCGCTATTCCTCCTCTCCGTCCATTCGGCCTAGACCCGCTAAGTTCTCGGGAAAGGGTCTGATAAACGAGGTCGCCGTTGTGCATTTCGAGAACTGCAGTGTTTTCTGTTGTAAAGATAGGTTGCGCCTGATAAGATTAGGTAGACAAAGCGTCGAGTGATTGCGCCAAAGATATTTACGTCTTCAGTGTCTGTTGTAAAGTATGCGTTTGGGGCTGACAAGTACAGGGAGTCCAAAAAGGCGGTGCAGAGGCGGTGACTCGAGTTTTCTATATAATGACATGGTTGGAGCACGGTTGTTGTTGTGAAGCGCGGGCTTTCGCCCATGGTTGGTGCACTGTATGTACAACCGTTGGTACAGTCAATTACCGACACGCACGCACTCCAAACTTTGAATACCGAAAAACAAAAACTTGTTCGACTGAGAAGCCGACCTTTTTCGTTAAAATGGCTTTAGTATGATTTATCATGTCTTTTATCCGGTTCATGGGGAAGATGAAGCCTTCAAAGGTTGCCTGTGTTGCATGGATGGTATATTTACTCGCGCGCGGGTACGTCAACCGAGTCAAACCCATGGCCGGGGCATGACGTTGCTTCTGTAGGGCTGACCGGTTGGTAGACCCTGCTTGCAATATTGACGCCCTGTGCGGGTCTGGAACGGACCGATAAATGCGCCCGATCGTTGTGCCCTGCATGTTTTGTTCTCTCAGCGGTTCTCGTGGTGTCAGTCTCTGTAAATGAAGCGTTCAAAATACGTCCATCTCCTGGGTGACACGCTTCCCAAACCAGTCGACCAATTCGTCGCCGCCGCCTTCATTCTTGCCGCTGAAGAAGTCTGTCATACGCATGTCGTTGCCGTCATCTTCAGCAGGCCAGTCAATAGCGACATCCGCTTTTTTCCCTTCCAGTAGCTCTTTCGCAGTTCCCCACGAAAAGCGCGTCTCGCTACCCCAGCCAAAGAAAGGGTCCATATTCTGCTTCAGCCAGGTCGTTGTCCGCGCGTCTGATGGGTATCCAGAGCCCCAAGCCACCTTGACTTCGGCATCTTCGTTCGCCGCTGTGTTGCGCTTCTGGTAGGGCTCGTAGCAAACATCTAGGGCCGCGTCACGGGTGACTTTGGCGCATACTGATGCTGCACTGACGACGGGGTATAGGCTGTCAGCTTTCTTCGCGACTGTGATTCGTATCGTGGGCCAGATCCTCTCTAGTTTCTTCTGATAGATTTCTGGTCTGCCAATTGTGTCGATGTAGATCTCCTTGACGTTGACGCCTTGTGCCAGCACTCCCTTGATCAGGTCGATTGTCGCATCCATGGCTTGCGCATTGAGGTTGTATACATTTGGGGACAGCATGTGCGCTGAGATGTCTTGTGCAGACATTACGCGTGTTGCCCATCCACCAGCTTCGTAGAGATCTGAGCCCTGGGTGCACAGTTTGCGCATCAGGTTCGAGCGGACTTCGGGAGTCAAGACTTTTGAATCGTCAAAGTGGTGCGTTTCGGCGAGAAGGGAATGGTGGAGTTCAATCGGTAGGTAAAAGAGGGCATACACCATCGGGCCTGTATGCGTTAGGGATGAAGAAGACTTTCACAGGAGCCTAGTACCTAGGACTGGACCTCGTCCAGCCTCATCGACACCTAGCACGACTTCTCCAGACATGTCATCTGCGACCTGCTTGGGTATGGGCGAGAAGTGCGAATATGACTTCCCGCCAAGAATGCCTGATTTGGATATTGAAGGTGCCATGAAGACATCTGAAGGTGGTGTTTCCAGCTCAATGTCTTGGGTGTCCATCTGAACATCTTCTTGTGGTTCTGCCATGGTTTCCGTCGTCTGTTTTAGCGGCTGAGGTCGTGTGGGCGATGTTGTGTGTCGTTGTGGTAAAGTGGTCGATTGAGTGAGACGCGACGCGTTCCTCGGCGGTTTGGACGCGACTCACCGATACGCTAGCGATGTGAATGGCACCGGCACACCTGCACCACGGCAAAGCCCACACACACCTTATGCGTAGGGCACGGCACAGTGCATGCAGTTTTCTACGCTTTTCCCCCAAACCTACTGTAAAGGGTTGGTTCGCACCGGCAAGTCATGTTCGTACCACCACACAAAGCGTTTCGCTGCATGAGTGCCGCCGAGGCCAGCACATTTCTTCCCGGGGGCCGCATGCAGTGTGTGATGGGTGTGGTACTTCCTAGCACAACACGCTAAAGTTGCGAATTCTCACACACAGGATTCCATTAAACTTATTTCACGGTATTGTAGATCGTCTTGCTCACGCCGCTTCTGAGACTCTCTTGTACCCAATTCGGCAATCCCCTCAGCATGCTGACCTTGCCCGCAGCGCTTGGTAAGATGATCTGGCCACCGCTGCAGCTCATGATTTGTCCGACAATTGCATCGGCAACAGCAGTCGGCTCAAGAATGGGAGAACCTCGCCTCTTGAGTTCCTGCTCCACAGGTTCTATCAAAGGTGTACGGACCCAATTAGGGTGTATGGAAGTCATGAGAACGTTTGGGCTGTTGTAGTGGTGCTTGAGTTCCTGGGTGAGCGCTAACTTGGGTCAGCATACTGCAGCTAAGAGATGGGACAAGGAACATACTTTCGTGGAAGCTTAGAATAGCCGCCTTCGTCGCTGTATAATCTGCCAGGCCAGCGACACCGATGAAGCTTGCCGTGCTTGCGATCGTCACGATATGGCCCTTGTTGTGTCGGAGCATGTCTGGCAGGAAAGCTTTGGTGGTGTACCAGTTGCTGAGGACGTTTACATCGAAGATCTTTCGGAGGTACGCGTCGGACGTAGTGAGGATGGTGTGGGATGCCAGAAGCCCTGCATTATTGATGAGGATGGTAGGTGCCCCCATCGTTTCTTTGACCTTCTCGGCGACTGAGTAGACTTCAGAGGAGTCGGTGATGTCACACTTGAAGAACTTGAGGCCGGCGTCTGTCGTCTTCGTTAGTACCAGGCAGCTCAGCGTAGTGAGTATTCATGTGTCTTACATCCTTGCAAACTTGGAGGCAATTGCTGAATGTCTAGCACTGCCACTCTGATTCCCTTGTTGATCAACCTCTTCACTACCAGCTCTCCAATACCACTGCAGCCTCCTGTGATGACTGCGACCTCCCGGCTCCAGTTCCATCTCGCCTTTTCACTTCGCAATCTGCCTGCGTTCAGGGCAACATGATTAAGCTGCTTGTTGACGACTCTTGCTGTTCCAGCTATCAGGCACCACTTCAAAGCCTTCACGAGCTGTGCATAGCGAAACGGGTCCCGAAGTGCGCGGATCCGAGTAGTAAGTTGGCTGCGAAGTTGTGTAGGCCCTTTCGTCAATACCCACAGTAGAGCAGCCGTGACTAGAGGGTTGAGTGTGATATGGCCAGCGGTTGTTCCAGCGATATTAAAAACGTGTTGCAGTAACTTCGACATATCTACGTTTGCATCCAATGTACGAAAGTCAGAGTGCGCAACCTGAGCATTCCATCGGAATTGTCACTTATGCATGATCTCCAGGTCTATATAGCGCGCTGCGGGTCCGATCGCGTCAAAAGAGGGGACCATACGACGCCAAATGTGTCTAATTGAGCGGACTTGGAGCCGACGACGTCGCAGCCTCGGCTTCGCATTCTCTTGTGCTTGTGCAACTAGACATTGTAAGAAAGTTTCGTTCGAATAGAGGAGTACCAAGTAAGCTCTAGGGAAAAGATTGCAAGACTCTTTACTTGTAGGCAGCCTTACAGGGCACTTGCATGAAAGTGTACAAGTGCTTTAGTGTGTAGGCATGCGGACCAGCAGAGCCACCAAGATTGCTAAACCAAAATGCGCGTTTACTATCTGTGGTAGAACATGACGTGCCTCGCAAAATCATTTCTTTTTCTTCATTGCAACCTGGATCATCCTTCGAAGAACGCAGCCACTTCGGTGACAATGCACACCCCGTTGTGCAGTCACTGGCACCCTGCATCTGTCTCCGAGGCTATTCTGCAGGAATGCTGTGGA